ATTTGAGAAGGGTTTTTTATAACGTCGACTAGTGTTGAAAAGTTGAGGGTTTTTTTGTAAACTTGTATGTTTATTAAAATTCCGTTTTGCCTGATGATACCGTCCCCTACTGATCTTACACTGGCGTCCGAACCAGGGCTTTGATCTTTTGCATCCGGGTCTACGCCGGCAGATACCATGATTGACACGCTTCAGGCCAAATGCTGATTTTGCTGTGAGTAAGAAAATGTTGTTAATATTATGTACAATAAGGTTTATATCGCCATTACAAATATCACCGAGCACCAAGGAATCAATGTGAGACATCATAAAGAAATGTTACTGTTTTGAATTGATTGTACAAAATCGTCAGCGTGCCTCTTATCCCAGCGTCTCGGGATGCACGTGGAGTCAGTGTTGTCAATTTCAGTGTTTGATTGACAGATGTCCCTTGTTGATTGGGTTTGACCTGTGATATTGTTAACATTTGTTGATTCACATTTTGAAAGCAATTTCAGAGCGCAAAGGGCATCAGATAAAATAGGATAAAAAATTTCAACTTCAAAATCAGAAACATATTTTAAAGTGCCTAGAGATGAGACGGTATAATCACTGACACTACAATTTTTACAGGTATTTTTCCCAACACCCTTATCTTGACCAACTCTGCCATTTACAATAAACAGTGAGTTATTTTTACACATGTGTATGAGTTTATGTCCATGATTATTCACTCTCCCTGAATCACTAGAACATCTTGTATCTGAAATGCCTAGGTCAGATAAGCAATCAATGTCATCTACTTCATCGATTACATCAGTTGGTATACCCAGGTGTTTTGACATTATGATAACACTTTCAATATAAACTATATCACTCATATCTTTGGTTCTGGCATTAAAATCACCAACCAATATTACATCAAAGTGATCTCTATGTTTTAAGATATCATCTTCCAAACAAGCAAACATGCTATAATCATAATAGGGAGATCCCTCTGGGGGAATGTACACACATCCTAACAATATATCTTTGTCACTTTTAAGCAATTGATATGAAAGTTTTATCCATAGGACACAATCACAACTAGTCCCTACTTCTGTGACCAGGTGAGGTGAGGTGAGGTGAAATGGGGTTTAACGTCGCGTCCAAAATTATTGCACTTATATAGCGACGTGCATGTACGTGTGTGTGTTTGTGTGGCTGCTTGTACTAGTCCGGACTGATGCCGATTTATAGTGCCAGCTCACTGAGATACCATGCCGCAGTTTAACATGAATACCCCACTCATACACAGTTTACTGACTCCGAGCCGACCAGTCCATGTTTTAGCCCCTTAATGCCGAGCGTCAGACAGGGTAACAACAAGTACCATCTTTTAACGTCTTTTGGTATGACGCGGCCGGGGATCGAACCCCGGACCTTCCGCTCTCCGGGCGGACGCTCTACCACAATATATACATAAACTTATATCCATCTATTATACAAGTCCACAAGCCATTCTAAACGAACTGCGAGAGATCATATATAAAACAGGTTATACATGATATATTTAAAACAGCACGGATGTGTTGGTGTATGTACAGATACAGATTATTTTAATCTCATGCTTGATGTAACCCATGTCCTTCTTGTACTGTTACTTGCCGATGAAACCATCTTTATATCAACTTCTTCTAAGCCGTACAAAATTCAGTAACTGCTTTTGAGACCCGTGAAGATTCCGGGGTAGAATAGGTCTTCAGCAACCCATGCTTGCCGTAAAAGGTGACTATGCTTGTCGTAAGAGGCGACTAACGGGATCAGGTGGTCAGGCTCGCTGACTTGTCTGATGCATGTCATCGATCCCAAATGCGTGGATTGATGCTCATGATGTAAATCACTGGATTGTCTGGTCCAGACTCGATTATTTACAGACCGCCGTCGTATAGCTGGAATATTGCTAAGTGCGGCGTTAAACAACAAACCAACCAACCAACTAACTGCTTTTGACGAATATTGCAAATCTTTGAAAAAAATTAACACTTTCAAAACAAAATAAAATATTGATATTTGAAAATAAACGTGATCAATTCATATTTAATGAATCAGCTATAGAGCATGTTGATGAATATAAGTACCTTGGCATTATATTTCACAAAATTTATTCTTTTAATTTTACTATGAAACATTTATGCGAACAGGTTACTGAGGCCGTTTATTGGTTTTCAGGAAAGTGCGTATATTACACCTTTCACTGAAATACCAACACTTACTATTTGATGCAATGGTAAAACCAATTCTACTATATGGGTTTAAAATATGGGGTTTTCAAAACGTGGAGATAACATTCATATTACATTTTTTTAGAGAACTGTTGCCATCATAGAAAAACACACCCTTGTTCATTCTATATGGCTAATCCGGCAGTGCGCCTTTTTGATGATGATATAAGAAGGCCGGTTCTGCCCCAGGATCCGAAGGATCCGAAGGTTCTGATTGGTTAAACGGTCTTAGGCATGACGTCATGCTAAAAGTAGCTCACCAATGAAACATGTATTACAGCCCGTGGTGCAATCGGGGAAATCCCGAGCTAAAGATAGACCAACGGTTATACATTCAAACGTGACCTAACCAGTATAAAATCTGTAGAACAGTATGTATGAAATTCCTTTGAAATAGTGAGGATGCAATGTAGTTGGTTCTTTTATGTTTACATTATTTGCCTAGGTAAAGGAGAATTGTTTTGTTTCTGTAAACACAGTGTTGAACTAGGTCACATAACAGCCTTGTTCACTGAAGGCAATCAGTTTGAGGAAGGCAGCCCTCTGTATCCACGGGTTAACATAAACACACAAGCACGTTTGTTATTGAAGGTAACCCAGCCCCGTCTCTGTAGTTATGATAGGCTATGTAGTTGATAAATATTAAAGCTCTATTTACATCGTTTAGGCTTCATTTCTCACATAACCATGCCTGCTGATGGATGGAAAGCATAGTATTTATTTTAATACCAAACATCCAACCTCCTTTTCTGGCCCTGTAAAAATTTATCACATTTTGAAAAAGGAGGCGAAATTTGATATTAGTTTACATCACATCAAGATGCTTCAGCGACCTTTAAGATACAAGTTCAAGCGGAACAGGGTGGTGGCTTCAGGCCTCAATGCTCGATGGGATATTGACTTGGCTGATGTATCTAATATAGCCTCGGACAATGACGGTGTGAAATACTTATTCATGTCTATAAATGTATTTACACGATTTCTGTGGGTGGAGCCCCTCAAAAATCAAACACCAGATGCGGTCATCAAGGCCTTGAAGAAGATATTTTCCCACGCTAACCTGCCACAAATTATAAGATCTGACAAAGGTCGTGAATTTGGTAATAGGAAAATGAGGTCTTATTTAAGAAACAAGGGCATCACTTACTATATCACACAGAATGAAACCAAGGCTTATGCAGAGAGAGTGATACGGACCCTCAAGACCACGATGTACAGATATTTCACAAACAAACGTATCATTACCTGAACATTTTACATTTTACGGGATTATAACCACAGACCTCACAGATCATTGAATGAACTTTCACCCTCAGATATTAATCAAACTAATGAAGCTCTAGTATGGAAGAAACAATACATTAATACTTTGACGAAACCAGATAAATCGAAAGTTGATACCACACAGAAGTCAATGAAGATACCCTTTAAGTTTAAAGTTGGCGATCAAGTGAGACCGTCTCATTTGAGACATACATTTCAAAGAGACTATCAAGAAAAATGGACTGAGGAAATCTTTATTATTAGGAGACAATACTACAGAGATGGTATAGCCATCTGGTGAGCTATTTTTAGCGTGACGTCATGCCTAAGACCGTTTAACCAATCAGAACCTACGGATCCTTCGGCTCCTGGGGCAGAACCGACCTTCTTATATCATCACCTTTTGTATATTTTGGTTAATACAAGAATGATTAGCTTTTGGGCCAAGTAAGTTTCTAGGAAAACCACAAAGTTGTTCTGTATTTTTAACTCTATTCTCTACAAAGATACAATTGTTAATTCTAACTCATTTTAATGCTTAATATGAATACAGACACTTAATTCTGGATTATCTTATATATGGCTAACGCAGAACTTCATTTTTTACAGTATATTAAAAAAAAAGAACTTAAACTTGAAAACTGTATCACTAAACTTCCTCTTTGTTCGTCTTCCCCAGGCACTGAAGTTAACTGACTATACAAATCAAGTTTCCACCTATGCCGAATTATGGAGTAATATTTTGGCTGGACTAGCGAGTCTATGCAGTGTCCAATCAAAAACGCGTAACGAAATCGGTTCATAAACAACATGGCGACTGCCCTGCCGATTTTTGTCGACTGCAGATTTTGCAGAGCACGTGTTTCGTCAAATGGGCGTCGACTTTTTTCCAAATCTTTTCATGTTTTTAAGCAAGGTGCTCGCGTGATTTGATGCACTTCGTGAGGTAAGACCCGTTTTATTACAATAAATAACTTGATTATCGATCTGGGGCGGCTTGACTGGGTGCCGGCCTTTTGTTTGAAGTAAATTCAAGTGATATTAGAGGTGGAATCTGATTGGTCAATAGGAGGACATAGAAGGGACATAACTCAACAGCCACTGGTGGCGCTTCGATCGAGCTAGGAAATTCCAGCATATTTCGGCAAGGGAGGAAACTGGACTTTCACAGTCAGTAAACTCCCTTGCCTGAGGAAGATGTCTACATTTAGCCTTACACTCTTTTCAGGACGGGCGATCTGACTCTTGGTCACATGTTGTTGTTGTCATGGTGTGGCACACGGCAACGTCCATTTGCTCATTAAACTTCAAACACTCAATATTATTGTCTTTGGCTATTTCGACAGATGCACACAATTTAACTATTACCTTTAAAAGTGGTGACGCTCAGCAAACTTTGTGCAGTTTAATTCCAACACACATGACCCATAATACACAGCGCCCTTTGGACCATACACGCAGCTCGTTGTCGCTAGGGATTATTTATTTAAACACTCTCTCTCTCTCCGGCAGGCTCGAGACGAACCACACTTTTCACAACAGCGCGGTAAAATTTTCATACGCGACCCAGATACCCAATGCTCAGCACAAGTCTCGTGTAACCTACTTTTGCAGCTACGTTCTGATAGATTCGTTCACCGTCGACGATGTCTGATGAAGCATACGATGTCGTGGTTGTCGGGGCAGGCGTGGAGGGGTCGGCAGCTGCCTATTACCTGGCCAAGAGGGGGAAGAAGACTCTGCTGTTAGAACAGGTAAATTTTGTTTCATAACTCGTTATTCGCACGCTTGACCTACATGCCCACAGCAGCGTATTTACTTTGAATGTGTGTATGCTATCGAGGAAGCTTTTTCGATCAGGGAACCGACTGGAGTACAAGGCCCGGATAAAACAAGAATCCTGTTCAAAACGCCGTTAAGCCCAACTCACTCACTCGTCACACCATGGCTCTAATATTGCCGGTGTGACGTTAACTTTTAACTCACTCCCTTACTCATTGCCGTGGCACTATTTTGTGTTTAAGTGTTTCAAATGAACATATCTATAGGCCTACACCCACTGGCTGGAGTCAAGCGTAAGTCATGGCACAACAGCTGCAGGCCTTATCTGTACGCGAGTGCTTCTGACTGACTGACTGACTGATATAGGAGATTTAACGTGCGCTTTCCGACTGTAGCGTATTTCGCACACGGGCCTGGTCGGGTCATTTAGTGTATTCCGAAGAGGGCGAAAGCGGTGTGTGCAACCCAAGAGGGGGCTTTTAGGGGTTGCTTTTATTTGAATTTTTGGAATTTTTAAATTTGGAATAAATACCGAAGGGGGTGGAGGAGGGAACTAAGGGAGCCGGGTGAGGTGGGTGTCTGTATGTTTATTGGATTGGTAGATTAATGAGTTTTTAGATGCGCTTAATTAGATCCGTTTTGATTAGGAATATACGAAAGCCTATTAGGGCCAAATTCATTGATAACATTTTTTTTATTTAAAAGGTGTAATTACAAGTTGTAAAATTGTAATTACAAGTTGTAAAGGTGTAATTACAAGTTGTAAAGGTGTAATTACAAGTTATAAAGTTGTAATTACAAATTTCTAAAGGTGTAATTACAAGTTTCTAAAGGTGTAATTACAAGTTTTAAAGGTGTAATTACAAGTTGTAAAGGTGTAATTACAAGTTTAAAAAGTTGTATTTACAAGTTTAACCATTGAACTGCTTATAAATTCAGAATAAGGGGCAAATGAACATATCTTGGAGGGAGGACGTCTGTCCCAAATGGCATCAAAAATCATAAATAGAAAAGTGAAGTTGTATTATGATTTGGGGCTTGTACCAACAGAAATATTGCGCTTTCTGGCATTAGCAGACAATGTTGTTATCAGTAAACGAACTCTGTAACGGGTTCTCCGTGGACTGAATCTTCCAAGAAGAAAAGAACACACAGACTTGTTTTAGATGCTTCTTTATTCATGAAACAAAAACATCCAAAATTGATTGCCCTCGTCCATACTTCTACGTATGTCCTTCAGGCAATACAGAACTTCAAATGTTTCGATCATTCAGTGAAATTTCACATTTCTAACTCATAATTACACCTTTTCAAACCTGTAATTACACCTCTCAAAACTTGTTATTTCCATTTCTAAACTTGTAATTACGCCTATAAATCTAGTTATTACTCCTTTAAAAACTTGTATTTTCATCTTTTAAACTTGAAATTACACCTTAAAAACATGTAACTACAACTTTTTATAAGTCGTAATTACACCTTTTTAACTTGTAATTACAACTTTACAACTTGTAATTACACCTTTAGAATCGTGTAAATACAACTTTACAACTTGTAATTACAACTTTTAAATAAAAATGTTATCAATGAATTTGGCCCTAATAGGCTATCGTAGGAATACGCCTAGGGCCTCAAAGTTTTCTTGTTTATTTTGAGGGTTTAGTATTTCATCTAGTGTAGGAGCCTTATTTTACGAAAGCCTATTAGGGCCAAATTCATTGATAACATTTTTTATTTAAAAGTTGTAATTACAAGTTGTTAAGTTGTAATTATAAGTTGTAAAGGTGTAATTACAAGTTGTAAAGGTGTCTTTACAAGTTATAAAGGTGTAATTACAAGTTAAAAAGGTGTCATTACGACTTATAAAAAGGTGTAATAACTAGATTTAAAGGCGTAATTACAAGTTTAGAAATGGAAATAACAAGTTTTGAAAGGTGTAAAAGCATGTTTGAAAAGGTGTAATTATGAGTTAGAAATGTGAAATTTCACTGAATGATCGAAAAATTTGAAGTTCTGTATTGCCTGAAGGACAGACGTAGAGGTATGGACGAGGACAATCAATTTTGGATGTTTTTAGATGAATTGGGCATTGAAAAGTCTGTAACTGACAAAATGAAAGATTCAGTCCACGGAGAACCCGTTTCAGAGTTCGTTTACTGATTACAACATTGTCTGCTAATGCCAGAAAGCACAATATTTCTGTTGGTGCAAGCCCAAAATCATAATACAACTTCACTTTTCTATTTATGTTTCTTGATGCCGTTTGGGACAGACGTCCTCCCTCCAAGATATGTTCATTTGTTGTTGTTGCATTAAGTGTTTAAGAGGTCGCCTTCTGCCTAGGCAATTTCGGCTGACCTGTCCCTCTTTGGGACTGCTGTGTGTGAGAAGGGTACACATATCTATTGTGAGTTCGGTGTTCACATAATTTCTGTTTTCGCATTGATATGATTTCTATTTTCTTATGTTGATATGATTTCATTTTTATCCTTGGCTGCTCTGTTTATATGCGTTCGAGTTGCTGTCCATCTCTCAGAAATAGAGTTAGTTTGGCCTTCGCTATTGCATCTCTTGGCTTTAGGAGATCTATGACAGATAGCGGATCTAACTGCAATTCTTGTTTTAACCTAGCCCGGGCTGGGGCATGGTCTTGACATTCTAGTAACACGTGGTCAATGGTTTCAGCCTGATTGCAAGATGAACAAACCTTGTCATAGTGCTATTTGTGACCAAGTCTGAGGCGTGAGATAGCAATTTCAATTTTCCTTTCATTTGAGTATGAGTTTGGCTTTTGTTGGACCTTGGGTTGAATTTTGTGTAGCCATCTGCCGATCTTACTTGCGTCCCATTGGGCTTGCCATCTTTCTGCTATGGAGGCTTTGATTTTGCTTTTTATCTCTAGTTTACTAAAGGGAATAGGCTGTATATCCGCTTTGTCTAGAGCTAGCTTCGCCAGTGAGTCTGCTTTTTCATTTCCATGAATATCTATGTGAGAGGGGATCCAACACAGCTCCACCTGTTGCCCTTGGTCCGATAGTTTTGTATATTCGTATAGAATATTGTTGACTGTGTTTGGCCTGGAGTTTGAGTTTCTGCCACTGATGGCCTGAAGTGCACTTAGCGAGTCTGATAGGACGACTGCCTTTGCTTCCGGGAGTTCCGGTATGAGTTTGAGTGCATGATGAATTGCCTCCAATTCAGCCGTAAAATACTGACTGACCATCAGGCAAGTGAACTGAATGTGCTTGGGGTTTGGAGCTGCGGATATGGATCCCGTAACCAGCACTGCTGTTGATAGGATTCTTGGATCCATCAGTGTATATATGGGCCCAGCTGTCCCAGGTAGTTCGAATTTTAGTGATAGCTACTGATCGTAGTAGGGTTGGGTTTTCTCTTTTAGTGACTTCTGATGTTAAAGCAGTGTCAACTTTGGGAGTTTTTAAAGTCCAGGGAGGGTGTAACCTTTTGTAGTGACTTTCTGGAGGCTGAATGTCATCGCAATTGTGACTTCGAATGAGTTCACGTACTAATATCCCAGATGGCTTTAGTGAGGGATTTTTTCGAGCTAGGGCTTCATCTCGAGTGTGTTTGTCTTGCCATATCTTTTTAACCAAAGGGTTTGATGTTCGTCCCAAGAACGATAATATTGCCTGCTCTCTTCTTAGTTTCAATGCGAGTTCTCCCGTTTCTACTTGTAGTGCTTCTATTGAGGTGCCTGTTGCTGCGCCTGTGGCCAGCATTAGGGCTTTGTATTGTATTCTGTCTAGGCGCCTCAAGACAGTATTTGATGCTGAATGAAAAGAACACGTCCCATTTTAATTCTGGAAACCCAAAAGTCCAGAAACTCTACGCTCTTTGCCCAGTCTCGGTTAAAGGTATTTACAAAATTAAACATGCCGTTTTCATGGGAACATACCAAGGAAGAAAAAATGAAAAAAAAAAGTTTAAAAACTCAATATTTAGACTATGTCGCCCATGGGCGAAGTCTGGCCCATGGGTAGGCCCATGGGCGAGAATATGTTCCTTTACTTAAAACTCATGTTTTTGTTTCGCAAATACGTTTAATGTATTCATTCAAGTATCATGACACAAAATTTAACTCATTTTAACTTAATTCAACGATTTTATAGCGATATTGAAATATTTCGCCCATGGGCGAGAAAAAGGTTTGGCCCATGGGCGAGAATATGTTCCTTTACTTAAAACTCATGATTTTGTTTCGCAAATACATTAAATGTATTTATTGAAGTATCATGACACAAAATTTAACTCATTTTAACTTAATTCAACGATTTTATAGCGATATTGAAATATTTCGCCCATGGGCGAGAAAAAGGTTTGGCCCATGGGCGAGAATATGTTCCTTTACTTAAAACTCATGATTTTGTTTCGCAAATACATTAAATGTATTTATTGAAGTATCATGACACAAAATTTAACTCATTTTAACTTAATTCAACGATTTTATAGCGATATTGAAATATTTCGCCCATGGGCGAGAAAAAGGTTTGGCCCATGGGCAGGCCCATGGGCGAGAACATGTTCCTTCACTCAAAACTCATGTTTTTGTTTCGCAAATACATTAAATGTATTTATTCAAGTATCATGACACAAAATTTAACTAATTTTTACTTAATTCAACTATTTTACGGCGTTATTAAAATATTTCGCCCATGTTTTCGTCAGTCCCTTTCAAGCCTCAACTAACTGTTTGCAAAGTATATTGTATCATGTGAAATATACTTTATATTATATCATTACATTACTATTTAAAAAGGGCATTTGGTTGGATGTTTCCTTTAGTTCTACAAATTTCACCTGTTTTACATATTGTAGCGATCTTTAATGAACCCGGCCTTACCTCTCAAAACGTTTTGACAGTTTATCATACGAATTCATGTGCGTGTACTCCAATTCATTGGAGTTATTTTCCACAACATTAAATTTTAGTTAGTTTCTATTTCATTTCCCATTTTATGTCCCGTTGATACATCACACTGGGCAATTACGTGACACTAGGTATGCAATATACAGGTACGCGTGCGCGTATTTTAATGAAAAAAACTATTCGTCTTTTATTGCATAACGTTTGGCTGAATATCTTACATTCTAACGAAATCTCGAAATAATCATTTAATTACATGCGGTTTCGAACTGACCAGTGGGAATTATGTTTCAATGCGATTGAGGAAAACGTGAGTGAATATTGTGACACTAAAGCAACTTTTAACTGCATTGTCACTTTTGGTATGAAAAACGTAACAGCCTTCTTATGATAATTCTCATTAGTACGTTGTATCTAATTACAGTGTCGGCCTTATTTACAGGTGATTCTACAATACCTGCTCTCGGTCAATTACGATCTACCACACCACGCGTGAATAAACAGTTATGCAGGTGTTGCTGTGGGCAAATACCTAGCCTGAAAATGTTTATTTGTTTTGGATACATGTTTTACAAATGTTCGTTGATATGTGGATATATTAAGCACAAAGACAAAAAAATGTTTATGAAAGATGAATTAGTGCCTTGATATATTCATCGAGATGTGTATCATCGTTTAATGGGGTCATTCAATAAACGTATGTTTGGAGGAGATATCAAAGGAGCCGCCCAATATACACAGTGTCGTCCGGTGAACTACCACCCCACCCTGTCCATTAGAGTTATGTAATCGGTACACAAATATATTTGATGCGGTGTCAGTGCGGAAGGAGTTTGAATTACGTCCGCCACTTGCCACAGAAATCCTCAAAGTATAGAAACAATAAACAAGGTCAATCCGTACTAATTACCTAGTGACGCACGTAACAACGACTGTCAATAGGGAAAATGGTGAAAACAAATTGAAATAGATTTTAATAAAACATTATTGTACTAAAAAACTCGCAAAAGCGGTGCCTAAAATTGTTTGACCGTGTTATTATGTGTTGTAAACTGACGAATAGCAAGTAATTGTCATGCTGTACGCATAGTTCCATATACAAATTCAGTTATACAACCGGTATGAAACTGAGAACTGAAATACCAAGTACAACCTGCATTCACACACGGAAGCAATATACTTGTGTGTATGCCCTCTCCTCTAAAAAATGTATCACTAAAGTATTTGCATTGTAATAAATATAGTAATGATAAAACTTGGTAATTTGGTAGGTCTCCGACAGATATGATTTTCATTTTTACACCTTTGATTGATACGGATTACGTACCTGTAGTCTAGTCACTGTCTCTAATGTATCTGCTTGTTAGAAATTTCAAATGTCTTGTTATAGCACTGTTCCTAAAATACGGCAGTTTCTTTTATCGGGTATAAATAGTTGATTCGTCTTTTCACGCAGTCATTTTTACTTGATCGAATGATTTCCACAAAAAAATACGGCAGAGAGTTTTGTATTTTATTGTATTTTTAGAAGATTTTAGAAGATGCTTACATCACTGTATCTCAGAACGTAAAACTGATAACATTCAAACATGTAATTAGTACACAGTTAATTGTTACATATAATTTCCTGCATATTCCTTTTTGAACAAAAAGCCTACATGTATACTGATATCGGTGTCCACTGTTAAAAGGGTATTAGTGCAGTCAGCCATGGCAAATGGAGAGACAATAATAAGGTGATTAATTATAGTCTGTTGCAGAATATGCGATATAAGTGTAGTCATTGATACATATACAGATGAAATACACGATATGATGCAGTGCAAGAACAAATTAAGATACGGTTTCTATTAAAAATAATTATACGATTTTGGATTTAATTAGCATTTTTAAATTTTCAGGCCAACACGGCTGAGATACAGCATCGGCATACTCAAATGGAGTTGTTTTCTGCCAGTCGTAAGTTCATTGTTTGACTGAGCACACTCGTGTCGGGGTTGCGATATTTTCTTCTCTTTGTTGGCAGCCTGCCACCGGTCTGAATTTTGAGAAAGGTCTCGGCATGGGACTGTTAATTACTTCTTAATGATGTCTACAAGCTTACAAACTTGTAGATGTTGGGTGCGGTTAGGACCAAACTTTTTCAGCTCAGAGTGTTAGTGGTCCTGGAACCCATAGTGTCAAACAGGTTCTGCACAAAACGTCCATCAGATTCTACTGTTCAGCAACATTGTCACTGAATTTCAGAACTCTGGCATGATATAATAATCAAGGATTTCGAAGGTGAACGAGGGGAAAGGCAGACGCACGTGGATTTACCCTCAGGTTATTATTGTCTGGAGTTCACATTTTGGGGCATTTCATATACTAATTGAACAGAGTTTACCTGCACATGTCCGCTTTAGTGATACAGACTGTAACTAAAAATGCAGTGAGCCGTAGCTCTTAATCCCTTATAACAACGGTAACAACAACCAGGGTGAGGACACAGTAAGGTTAAACCGTGTCCAACAGACAATCTGAGGTGGCTATCTCCCATCAAGTCAGCTCTGTTTTTAAGCGCATAGTTACGTTTTTACATATTGAAATAAAAGGAATTAAAAAAATTATATTTAACAAACCTACACATTACCAAATACAAAACTTTATAACCCTTTCTAGACTTCGTTCCAATTAACCTGGATCATTCAACTCGCTCGCGAAGGTCGTATGCGACTTTAAAGTGAATACGTCTACAGTGTACAAGTAACTTTTAACTGTATCATATGTACTCATGACAAGCAATTATTTTCGTTCCTAATTCGAATGAGCACATTCTGAGGCTAAATCTGCAAAAGGACAGATAAAATATTTCTTTGTACAATGCAAACGATACAAACTTAGCGGCTGATAATAGAGACAATGATTTAATAATCTGCAATATATCAAGTGTTCTCGTTCAATCTATTGTACATATTGAAGTGATTGTAAAGTTTCAAGGAGTACTAAAATGTTGTGGTATTATGAATGTATTTAGAATATGAATAGCGAAAAACAGTCACCATATCGGATGTACATGTATAACTTGTCTTCCAACACCACGCTTGTGCCGAGGCCCATGGTCATAAAACTAATTGGTCCCATAAAAGGAGCAAATAGTTTCGCAGATACTTCTTGCTATGGTTCACTCCCAATTGTCAGACGACCTAATCATCAGTCAGACCAGTCAAGTGTGACCAGCGTACCTGCCTGGTTTTGGCTCCTAATTACTGAACTGCCCAATACTGTCATACTGTGGGCAGAGTAAGCGGCCTCGTTGAGTGATACAGACTAACCAGATTATGATTGTGTTTGTAAGTTGCGTTTAATCTGTGTCGGGTTGCAGTTGTTTTATTAGTCAAGACTAGGGGTAGTTTTTTCAATGAAACCTTTTAGCCGTTGAGTTTGTTTTGCATTCATTTCATTAAATACATTGTTAGGTAGAATAATAACACGTTATATGGATTAAACATCTCCCTAATCTGAGTATAATCTCACATGTACTCTAAGTACCGTACTATATTACTTTGCGGAGACACTGAGTATAATTTTTTAGTTGGCATTGTATGCTGTCTGATGACTAATTACACGCACCCAACATGGCACCTCCTACACCTCACTTCAGGCCTTAACAGGAGAAATGCCACTAAGTCTACGCAGGGAACAGCTAAGCTTAAATTTCTGGGCCGCGTCCCAATCAAACCCTCTCATCCAAAACTTAATAAACCAAAACATCAGCCCCCAAAACCAAGCTCTAGCTCGTAAACACCCCTTACTTACCCCAATATCCCAAAGAACAACAAACTACCTAAATGAACACCAAATTAAAAATCTTAAACAAAACTGCAAACAATCAAATATCTTCACCCCTAAACTTAAAATACCCAAAATAGACACAACACTAGCTAGCCAAATAAATAAACAAACCGACCCAAACATAGCTAAAACTACCACACTAGCATACATACACGAAAATTGGCCAAATTGGTGTCACATTTACACGGACGGATCCTCAGATCCGACCTCCAAACACACAGGTTTCGGAGTCCATACCACACATTCAACTAAAACCACACAATCCTTCCGACTCCCAAACAACCAATCAATATTCACGGCAGAACTAATGGGCATGGCCTCAGCCCTCCATAATCAAGAATCCAAAAACCACAAAAAAATCCTAATACTTACCGACTCCCTAAGTGGACTGCAAGCCCTCCAAAACAAAAATACCAAAAAACGACCTAAATTAATAAATCAAATACTTAAAAGCTCCAACGACCTAACTAAGGCAGGCAAACAAATAACCTTCTTGTGGATACCCGCCCACGTAGGAATATACGGTAATGAAAACGCCGATAAAGCAGCTAAACTATCCCTCAAAATCCCAGAAATAAGCTTAAACTTACCCATCTCAAAATCAGAAATTAAAAGTGTAAACAAGCAAAAAATCACCAAAAAATGGCATAACCTATATCTAAACTCAAATAGCCAAATCAAAAAAGTGCTCAGCAAACCACTAACCAAACCAAAAATTCTCCATCCATCCAAAAAAATCGACAGAGTAATCACTAAACTCCAAACAGGACACACCAACCTAAATAACCACCTAAAAATTTTTAAAAAACACACTACAGGTAACTGCCCACACTGCAAACAACCAGAAACCCCAGAACACGCACTCATCCACTGCACACACTACCTAACACATCGAACCGCATTACAAACCACCCTCAATCTAAACAAGGCTCTAACTCTAGGAGCAATACTAAACCCACAAAATAAACTAGAAAACTTCAAGGCCTTAGGCGTATTCTTAATCAAAACGGAACTAATAAAACGCATCTAAAAACACAATAACTCACCAAATCAAAATCACATAAACAAACAAACATCCGCCATACCCAGCTCCCTTAGTTCTCCTCCCCAATCCCATCGGCATCTATTCCAAATCTCAAAATTCCCAAATTCTATATAAGCAACCCCTAAAACCCCCCTCTTGGGTTGCACAGACCACCTTCGCCCCTTTCGGAAACACATTAAATGGCCTGGCCGGGCCCGTGTGCGAAATACGCATCAGTCGGAAAGCGCACGTTAAATCTCCAAAGTAAGTAAGTAACTGAGTATAATTTTTTAGTTGGCATTGTATGCTGTCTGATGACTTTACACAAATCCCTGCATTCAATAGACCCGTGAAGATCTTCAACAAACCATTCTTGGCGTAAAAGGGCGACAGCGCTTGTCGTAAGAAGCGACTACCGGGATCGGGTGGTCAGGCTCGCTGACTTGGTTGATGCATGTCATCGTATCCCAATTGCGTGGATCGATGCACATGATGTCAATCACTGGATTGTCTGGTCCAGACTCGATTATTTACAGACCGCCGTAATACAGCTGAAATATTGCTAAGTGTGGCGTTATACAACAAACAAACAAACAAACAAAACACAAAAAGAGAAAGTGTATGAGTACTAAAACTTGCAATAGATATGCGTACCCTACGTACACACATGAGTCCCATTCGACAGTCTACAACACACGAATAACTGTCAAAAAAGTTTGGGTACCCCTTCTGTTCAGGCAAGTTATTATTAAAATCCTTTTCAATTTGTTTTCATCCTTTTTCCCTATTCCATGCATGTTTATGTTGCTACATCTTATTGCTCATGTTTCCAAGTATTGTAAAACACTTTAATGTTTCTCCTTCTTAATCTAACGTTATAACATTTCCGGTCATTGCCATCATCTAATACACAAGAGATGATACCAAGATATATTTTATTCGGTTTTATGGTCTATGCGGTCTTACAATTGATTTTATTAGTCTTTAAATCTTATGTCTAGTAAATATTTTCACAAACAGGGCTGTTAACTGATATAAGGAATGTGACATCCAGTTGAGGACTGAATACGACGTACGTTAGTCTGGTAACGACATTTCTACAATAATTTTTTGAATAAACCGTTAATACGCCAGTTGTGACAGGGATGATGGTATGGTAGATGTAGCAGACATATTGGCAGCCGTTGTTACGCGAGTCACTAGGTTATTAGTACGGCATTGGCCTTGTTGATTGGTACTATACTTTCTGTGGCCACTGGCGGACGTAATTCAAACTCTTTCCACACTGACATCGCACCAAATATATTTGTGTACCGATTACATAACTCTTACTGACAGGGTAGGGTGGTAGTTAACGCGAAACGGACGACACTGTGTATATTGAGCGGCTCCTTTGATATCGCCTCACAACATACTTTTAATGAATGACCAATTAAACGATGATACACATCAGGATCGCGGAGAAAATACAAGCTTCGTTCGCGTTGAATAGATATATCAAGGCACAAATTCATCTTTCATAAACTTTTTGTGTCTTGGTGCTTAATATATCCACATATCAACGAAAATATGTAATACATGTATCCACAAAAATAAACATGTACAGGCTAGGTATTTGCCCACAGCAACACCTGCATAACTGTTTATTCACGCGTGGTGTGGCAGATTGTAATTGACCGACAACAAGTATTGTAGAATCACCTGTAAATAAGGCCGACACTGTAATTAGACACAACGTACTAATGAGAATATGAGAATTATCATAAGAAGGCTGTTACGTTTTTCTTAACTATTACCATTTTCATACCAAAAGTGACAATGCAGTTAAAAGTTGCTTTAGTGTCACAATATTCACTCACGTTTTCCTCAATCGCATTGAAACATAATTCCTACTGGTCAGTTCGACACTGCTTGTAATTAAATAATTATTTCGAGATTTCGTTAGAATGTAAGATATTCAGCCAAACGTTATGCAATAAAAGACGAATAGTTTCTTTCCATTAAAATACGCGCACGCGTACCTGTCACGTAATTGCACAGTGGGATGTATCAACGGGTCATAAAATGGGAAATGAAATAGAAACTAACTAAAATTTAATGTTGTACACGCACATGAATTCGTATGATAAACTGTCAAAACGTTTTGAGAGATAAGGCCGGGTTCATTAAAGATGTTGGGTGCGGTTAGGACCAAACTTTTTCAGCTCAGAGTGTTAGTGGTCCTGGAACCCATAGTGTCAAACAGGTTCTGCACAATACGTCCATCAGATTCTACTGTTCAGCAACATTGTCACTGAATTTCAGAACTCTGGCATGATATAATAATCAAGGATTTCGAAGGCAAAACCTTTTCTCGCCCATGGGCGAAATATTTCAATAAATCTGTAAAATAGCTGAATTGAGTAAAATTGAGTTACATTATGTGCCATGAAAATAGTAAGAACACCTGCATGTATTTGCGAAACAAAAACATAAGTTTTAAGTATTTAAAATATTCTCGCCCATGGGCCAAACCCTTTTCTCGCCCATGGGCGAAATATTTCAATATCGCTATAAAATCGTGGATTTAAGTTAAAATGAGTTAAATTTTGTGTCATGATACTTAAATAAATACATTTAATGTATTTGCGAAACAAAAACATGAGTTTTGAGTAAAGGAACATATTCTCGCCCATGGGCCTACCCATGGGCCAGACTTCGCCCACGGGCAGGCCCATGGGCCACATAGTCTAAATATTGAGTTTTTGAACATTTTTTTTTCATTAATTTTTTTGTCATGATACTTCAATGAATACATTTAATGTATTTGCGAAACAAAATCATGATTTTTAAGTAAAGGAACATATTCTCGCCAATGGGCCTGCCCATGGGCCAAACCTTTTTCTCGCCCATGGGCGAAATATTTCAATATCGCTATAAAATCGTTGAATTAAGTTAAAATGATTTAAATTTTGTGTCATGATACTTCTTTCAATACATTTAATGCATTTGCGAAACAAAATCATGAGTTTTAAGTACAGGAACATATTCTCGCCCATGGGCCAAACCTTTTCCTCGCCCATGGGCGAAATATTTCAATATCGCTATAAAATCGTTGAATTAAGTTAAAATGAGTTAAATTTTGTGTCATGATACTTGACTGAATACATTAAATGTATTTGCGAAACAAAAACATGAGTTTTAAGTAAAGGAACATATTCTCGCCCATGGGCGACATAGTCTAAATATTGAGTTTTTGAACATTTTTTTTTCATTAATTTTTTTGTCATGATACTTCAATGAATACATTTAATGTATTTGCGAAACAAAATCATGAGTTTTAAGTAAAGGAACATATTCTCGCCCATGGGCCTGCCCATGGGCCAAACCTTTTTCTCGCCCATGGGCGAAATATTTCAATATCGCTATAAAATCGTTGAATTAAGTTAAAATGAGTTAAATTTTGTGTCATGATACTTCAATAAATACATTTAATGCATTTGCGAAACAAAATCATGAGTTTTAAGTACAGGAACATATTCTCGCCCATGGGCCAAACCTTTTCCTCGCCCATGGGCGAAATATTTCAATATCGCTATAAAATCGTTGAATTAAGTTAAAATGAGTTAAATTTTGTGTCATGATACTTGACTGAATACATTAAATGTATTTGCGAAACAAAAACATGAGTTTTAAGTAAAGGAACATATTCTCGCCCATGGGCCTGCCCATGGGCCTACCCAAGGGCCAGACTTCGCCCATGGGCAGGCCCATGGGCGACATAGTCTAAATATTGAGTTTTTGAACATTTTTTTTTCATTATTTTTTTTGTCATGATACTTCAATGAATACATTTAATGTATTTGCGAAACAAAATCATGAGTTTTAAGTAAAGGAACATATTCTCGCCCATGGGCCTGCCCATGGGCCAAACCTTTTTCTCGCCCATGGGCGAAATATTTCAATATCGCTATAAAATCGTTGAATTAAGTTAAAATGAGTTAAATTTTGTGTCATGATACTTCAATAAATACATTTAATGCATCTGCGAAACAAAATCATGAGTTTTAAGTACAGGAACATATTCTCGCCCATGGGCCAAACCTTTTCCTCGCCCATGGGCGAAATATTTCAATATCGCTATAAAATCGTTGAATTAAGTTAAAATGAGTTAAAGTTTGTGTCATGATACTTGACTGAATACATTAAATGTATTTGCGAAACAAAAACATGAGTTTTAAGTAAAGGAACATATTCTCGCCCATGGGCCTACCCAAGGGCCAGACTTCGCCCATGGGCAGGCCCATGGGCGACATAGTCTAAATATTGAGTTTTTAAACAATTGTTTTTTCATTTTTTCTTCCTTGGTATGTTCCCATGAAAACGGCATGTTTAATTTTGTAAATACCTTTAACCGAGACTGGGCAAAGAGCGTAGAGTTTCTGGACTTTTGGGTTTCCAGAATTAAAATGGGACGTGTTAAAGCCTCACAACCATAGTCAAGTTTTGATCTGATAAGAGATTTGTAGAGGTCCAGCTGAGTGTCCCTCGATGTGCCCCAAGATGTGCTTGAAATTGCCCGTAATACGTTCAGGTCTTTTTGGCATCTGTTTTCCACATATTCTAAATGCTTGCGCCAAGTGAGGTGTTGATCAAGGATCACCCCAAGAAATATTGCAGAATTTTCAAATTTGATAGGTTTGCCTTTTATGGAGACACGGGGTATCATAGCATCTTTCCCCCGGCGTTTGAATAGAACTCCAACAGTTTTTTCACTTGAAAGGGTGAATCCCCATTTATTGCACCATTGATGTACTCCGTCCAGGGCTGACTGGAGTTTTTTTCTGATTTGTGAAATATCTCTGTGCTTTCACAATTTTTTTAGTGGGGTGTAGGATTTTAGGTTTGGCTAGTGGTTTCCTGAGTACTTTTTTGATTGGGCTATTTGAGTTTTGATATTAATTGTGCCATTTTTGGGTAATGTTTTTGTTTGTTTACACTTTTAATTTCTGATTTTGAGATGGGCAGGTTTAAGCTTATTTCTGGTATTTTGAGAGATAAAAGTGTAAACAAGCAAAAAATCACAAAAAATGGCATAACCTATATCTTAACTCAAATAGCCAAATCAAAAAAGTGCTCAGCAACCACTAACCAAACCAAAAATTCTCCATCCATCCAAAAAAATCGACAGAGTAATCACTAAACTCCAAACAGGACACACCAACCTAAATAACCACCTAAAATTTTTTAAAAAACACACTACAGGTAACTGCCCACACTGCAAACAACTAGAAACCCCAGAACACGCACTCATCTACTGCACACACTACCTAACACATCGAACCGCATTACAAACCACCCTCAATCTAAACAAGGCTCTCACTCTAGAAGCAATACTAAACCCTCAAAATAAACTAGAAAACTTCAAGGCCTTAGGCGTATTCTTAATCAAAACGGAACTAATAAAACGCATCTAAAAACACTATAACCTACCAAATCAAAATCACATAAACAAACAAACATCCACCATACCCAGCTCCCTTAGTTCTCCTCCTCAATCCCATCGGCATCTATTCCAAATCTCAAAATTCCCAAATTCTATATAAGCAACCCCTAAAGCCCCCTCTTGGGTTGCACACACCACTTTCGCCCCTTTCGGAAACACATTAAATGGCCTGGCCGGGCCCGTGTGCGAAATACGCATCAGTCGGAAAGCGCACGTTAAATCTCCAAAGTAAGTAAGTAAGTACTCGTATTTTTCTCATTTAATTCATGCTCGCGTTAATCTTTGTTGACACCCGGCCTCTCTGCTCATCGCCGCTCGGCTACAATAGTGCCTATGCGATGTAAAATTTCACTCACTCACTCGACGGTGAAATATGCTTGTCGTAAGAGGCGACTAACAGGATCGGGTGGTCAGGCTCGCTGACTTGGTTGATGCATGCCATCGATCCCAATTGCGTGGATCGATGCTCATGATGTCAAACACTGGATTGTCTGGTCCAGACTCGATTATTTACAGACCGCCATCATATAGCTGGAATATTGCTGCGTGCGGCGTTAAGCAACAAACAAACAAACAAGTGAGCAACTTTCCGTTCCCGTGAAGTTGTTGTGATTACTAAAGCGAGACATAAGTGCAGTTCCCGGTGTTCAGGGGTTCAAGTAGAACAGTTGAAGTCCTTAGAGACAAACGTATTTCACCGGTTTCCTGTAAAGTGTAAACACTCTGTAACGGAAAACTTCTCTCACAGTTCCCGCTTCCACACAGTCGGGGCAGCTCTCACGGCCAGTCTCGCATCACCCGCAAGGCCTACCCCCAGGACTTCTACACAGAGATGATGCATGAAGCCACCGACATCTGGCGGCAACTGGAGAGAGAAGCCGGGTGGGAGGTGTTCAGGTGAGTGGCCGGGTGGAAGGTGTTCAGGTGAGGAAAGAGTCCGGATGGGAGGTGTTGAGGTGAGGAGAGAGGCTGGATGGGAGGTGTTCAGGTGAGAGGCCGGGTGGGAGGTGTTAAGGTGAGGAGAGAGGCCGGGTGGGAGGTGTTCAGGTGAGAGGCCGGGTGGGAGATGTGAAGGTGAGGAGAGAGGCCGGGTGGGATGTGTTCAGGTGAGAGGCCGGGTGGGAGGTGTTGAGGTGAGGAGAGAGGCCGGGTGGGAGGTGTTGAGATGAGAGGCCGGGTGGGAGGTGATGAGGTGAAGAAAGAGTCCGGGTGGGAGGTGTTGAGATGAGGAGAGTGTTGAGGTGAGGAGAGAGGCGGGGTACGGAGGTGTTGAGGTGAGGAGAGAGGCCGGGTGGGTTGTGTTGAGGTGAGGAGAGAGGCCGGGTGTTGAGGTGAGGAGAGAGGCCGGGTGGGAGGTGTTGAGGGTGTTGAGGTGAGGAGAGAGGCGGGGTACGGAGGTGTTGAGGTGAGGAGAGAGGCCGGGTGGGAGGTGTTGAGGTGAGGAGAGAGGCCGGGTGTTGAGGTGTTGAGGTTGTTGAGGTGAGGAGAGAGGCCGGGTGGGAGGTGTTGAGGTTGTTGAGGTGAGGAGAGAGGCCGGGTGGGAGGTGTTGAGGTGAGAGGCCGGGTGGGAGGTGTTGAGGTGAGGAGAGAGGCCGGGTGGGAGGTGTTGAGATGAGAGGCCGGATGGGAGGTGATGAGGTGAAGAAAGAGTCCGGGTGGGAGGTGTTGAGATGAGGAGAGTGTTGAGGTGAGGAGAGAGGCGGGGTACGGAGGTGTTGAGGTGAGGAGAGAGGCCGGGTGGGAGGTGTTGAGGTGAGGAGAGAGGCGGGGTACGGAGGTGTTGAGGTGAGGAGAGAGGCCGGGTGTTGAGGTGAGGAGAGAGGCCGGATGGGAGGTGTTGAGGGTGTTGAGGTGAGGAGAGAGGCGGGGTACGGAGGTGTTGAGGTGAGGAGAGAGGCCGGGTGGGAGGTGTTGAGGTGAGGAGAGAGGCGGGGTACGGAGGTGTTGAGGTGAGGAGAGAGGCCGGGTGGGAGGTGTTGAGGTGAGGAGAGAGGCCGGGTGGGAGGTGTTGAGGTGAGGAGAGAGGCCTGGTGGGAGGTGTTGAGGTGAGGAGAGAGGCCGGGTGGGAGGTGTTGAGGTGAGGAGAGAGGCCGGGTGGGAGGTGTTGAGGTGAGGAGAGAGGCGGGGTACGGAGGTGTTGAGGTGAGGAGAGAGGCCGGGTGGGAGGTGTTGAGGTGAGGAGAGAGGCCGGGTGGGAGGTGTTGAGGTGAGGAGAGAGGCCAGGTGGGAGGTGTTGAGGTGAGGAGAGAGGCCGGGTGGGAGGTGTTGAGGTTGTTGAGGTGAGGAGAGAGGCCGGGTGGGAGGTGTTGAGGTTGTTGAGGTGAGGAGAGAGGCCGGGTGGGAGGTGTTGAGGTGAGGAGAGAGGCCGGGTGGGAGGTGAGGAGAGAGGCCGGGTGGGAGGTGTCGAGGTTGTTGAGGTGAGGAGAGAGGCCGGGTGGGAGGTGTTGAGGTGAGGAGAGAGGCGGGGTACGGAGGTGTTGAGGTGAGGAGAGAGGCCGGGTGGGTTGTGTTGAGGTGAGGAGAGAGGCCGGGTGTTGAGGTGAGGAGAGAGGCCGGGTGGGAGGTGTTGAGGGTGTTGAGGTGAGGAGAGAGGCGGGGTACGGAGGTGTTGAGGTGAGGAGAGAGGCCGGGTGGGAGGTGTTGAGGTGAAGAAAGAGTCCGGGTGGGAGGTGTTGAGATGAGGAGAGTGTTGAGGTGAGGAGAGAGGCGGGGTACGGAGGTGTTGAGGTGAAGTAGAGAGGCCGGGTGGGAGGTGTTGAGGTGAGGAGAGAGGCGGGGTACGGAGGTGTTGAGGTGAGGAGAGAGGCCGGGTGTTGAGGCGAGGAGAGAGGCCGGGTGGGAGGTGTTTAGGCTAGGTGAACCTGTCCTTAATATTAATCCCGTGATAACCAGTGCGCTATACGATGCGATGTACTGTTATTTCTGTAGGCCCGCTGGTTACCTGGCTATAGGGGAACATAACGGTGTATTTCTTAAGGATAACGTCAGTTCCCTCACGCGGAACGACGCTCCGTTCCAATACCTGCCACCACCCGACTTCCGCCGTCGCTACCCTATGCTGGCATACCCCGACAACTTCGCTGCCATCGTCGACACCGACGGGGGCATTCTTCGGGCCGACAAGGCGCTCCTTGCCTACCAGGTAGTTAAATGAAATTCTGAGAGAGAGAGAGATTTATTTCTGTATAAATTACCACCAAAGACAATAAATAGATCTTCATTGTGCACCCCCCCCCCACCCCCCCACCACCCCCCACCACCCCCACCCCCCACCCCCCACCCCCACCCCCCCTTTTCAAAAAAGCTGTATCCGCCCATGTCATCCCTTATGAAGATCGGACCTACGGCGATTCCTATTTCCAAAACGGTCAAATGTCATGAAAGAACACATAGTTAACACATTGTGTCGACATAATGCGTACTATTTCATGCATTACTACTCGTAAAAAGACAATGACACAAATATAAAATATCGATAAACCGTTTTAAAAAAAAATCAATTTATTTTAGTTTCCAAATTCTGTCCTCGATAGCAGCTCTAGACGCGTTGTCAGAGGTTTGGCCACAGAAGGTCTCAGATTTCGTATCTCATACCTCAGGTTGATCACCCTCAATAATGCAGTGTACCATATATCCTTTCTATTACGATTTCTACCCTGGTCCTATTTGCAACTACACCTTAATTTGGATTCCAGTTTGCGTGACACGACGTCAACAATAGACATCCAACAAAACTACACCGTTCTTTCATGAGTGTCCCGTGAAGTTCCGAGTCAGAATTTGTCTTCTGCAGGCCGACCGATGATTATTCTGTCAATCACTGGATTGTCTGGTCCACCGCGTTGGGGTTTCCTCCCACACTAATCTGAGATTAGCTGATAAGTACACTACTGTTAAAAGCAGAGTTAAACCCAACTCACTCACTCACTCACTACGTACTGAGAAGACGGTATCTCGAACGCTCACTTGGACGCGGCCACAAGTTTAAATGTAGATCTGTACCGAAATCGCGTTCAGAGGAGGCATTTTGATTGGTTGGCCTCTGCTGATTTAACTCTATGGTACATGAAGCTGGTGACGTCACTTCCTTAACGACGCTATGGAGGCAGATATACACGGTATATATCTTAATAAAATGGAGATGTTAGACACTTGATAATCGAGGCTGGATTTGTTATCCGTACTCTCTCTCTCCCCCCCCCCCCCCCCCCCCCCCTCCCCCCTCCAAAAAACAAACAAACCCCAAAACACAAAACAACAACAACAACAACAAAAACAAAAAAAAACAAAAAAAAGTGGCGACGCGACTCGAAGGGGTGACTATAATACTGTAAACACACTGACGTTCTGTTGACTTTTACCCAACCCATATGTCTTTGACCACGGTCTCAAAGATAAAGTAATTCAATACTAATAAAATGTTTCAGACAACGTTCAAGAAATATGGAGGACGCCTTATCGACGGTGCCATGGTAACCAATATCAGACGAGGTAATATTATTACCCTGGAGACGCCCAACGCCACCTACCGGGGTAGAAGCGTGATCATATGTCCAGGTCCCTGGGCGTCCCAGATACTTCGTCCATTTGGCGTCAAGCTTCCACTTAAGGTACCTCTCGTCAACTGTGCGTGACCAAGTAATTAATGCATAAATAAGCCTGTGTGGGGAATGGCGGGTGTCTTGTCTAACATACCAATATACCACTGTGCGTCAGTAAATATATACCATTGTCACTATATATTACCGTGCGTATATACGATAGCACTGTACATATGTACCATTGGATATACAAGTGTGTACCTCTGTACGACTGTGTACCAGGTTTGACTGTGTACCAGGTTTGACGGATCTGTGTGTTGTACTGACGTCTTGTCAGTGTACCAGGTTATACGGATCTGTGTGTTGTACTGACGTCTTGACTGTGTACCAGGTTATACGGATCTGTGTGTTGTACTGACGTCTTGACTGTGTACCAGGTTATGCGTATCTGTGTGTTGTACTGACGTATGACTGCGTAAGGTTATACGGATCTGTGTGTTGTACTGACGTCTTGTCAGTGTACCAGGTTATGCGTATCTGTGTGTTGTACTGACGTCTTGACTTTGTACCAGGTTATACGTATCTGTGTGTTGTACTGACGTCTTGTCAGTGTACCAGGTTATGCGTATCTGTGTGCTGTACTGACGTCTTGACTTTGTACCAGGTTATACGGATCTGTGTGCTGTACTGACGTCTTGACTTTGTACCAGGTTATACGTATCTGTGTGTTGTACTGACGTCTTGTCAGTGTACCAGGTTATACGGATCTGTGTGTTGTACTGACGTCTTGTCAGTGTACCAGGTTATACGTATCTGTGTGCTGTACTGACGTCTTGTCAGTGTACCAGGTTATGCGTATCTGTGTGTTGTACTGACGTCTTGTCAGTGTACCAGGTTATGCGTATCTGTGTGTTGTACCGACTTCTTGACTTTGTACCAGGTTATACGGATCTGTGTGTTGTACTGACGTCTTGTCAGTGTACCAGGTTATACGTATCTGTGTGTTGTACTGACGTCTTGTCAGTGTATCAGGTTATACGGATCTGTGTGTTGTACCGACGTCTTGACTGTGTACAAGGTTATACGTATCTGTGTGTTGTACTGACGTCTTGACTTTGTACCAGGTTATACGTATCTGTGTGTTGTACTGACGTCCTGACTGTGTACAAGGTTATACGTATCTGTGTGTTGTACTGACGTCCTGACTGTGTACAAGGTTATGCGTATCTGTGTGCTGTACTGACGTCTTGACTTTGAACCAGGTTATACGTATCTGTGTGCTGTACTCACGTCTTGTCAGTTTACCAGGTTATGCGTATCTGTGTGCTTTACTGACGTCTTGACTTTGTACCAGGTTATACGTATCTGTGTGCTGTACTCACGTCTTGTCCGTGTACCAGGTTATGCGTATCTGTGTGCTGTACTCACGTCTTGACTTTGTACAAGGTTATACGTATCTGTGTGCTGTACTGACGTCTTGACTGTGTACAAGGTTATGCGTATTTGTGTGTTGTACTGACGTCTTGTCAGTGTACCAGGTTATGCGTATCTGTGTGTTGTACTGACGTCTTGTCAGTGTACCAGGTTATACGTATCTGTGTGTTGTACTGACGTCTTGACTGTGTACAAGGTTATGCGTATTTGTGTGTTGTACTGACGTCTTGTCAGTGTACCAGGTTATGCGTATCTGTGTGTTGTACTGACGTCTTGTCTGTGTACCAGGTTATACGTATCTGTGTGTTGTACTGACGTCTTGTCAGTGTACCAGGTTATACGTATCTGTGTGTTGTACTGACGTCTTGTCAGTGTACCAGGTTATACGTATCTGTGTGTTGTACTGACGTCTTGTCTGTGTACCAGGTTATACGTATCTGTGTGTTGTACTGACGTCTTGTCAGTGTACCAGGTTATACGTATCTGTGTGTTGTACTGACGTCTTGTCAGTGTACCAGGTTATACGTATCTGTGTGTTGTACTGACGTCTTGTCTGTGTACCAGGTCATACGGATCTGTGTGTTGTACTGACGTCTTGACTTTGTACCAGGTTATACGGATCTGTGTGTTGTACTGACGTCTTGACTTTGTACCAGGTTATACGTATCTGTGTGCTGTACTCACGTCTTGACTTTGTACAAGGTTATACGTATCTGTGTGTTGTACTGACGTCCTGACTGTGTACCAGGTTATACATATCTGTGTGCTGTACTGACGTCCTGACTGTGTACCAGGTTATACATATCTGTGTGCTGTACTGACGTCCTGACTGTGTACCAGGTTATACGTATCTGTGTGTTGTACTGACGTCTTGACTGTGTACCAGGTTATACGTATCTGTGTGTTGTACTGACGTCTTGTCTGTGTACCAGGTTATACGTATCTGTGTGTTGTACTGACGTCTTGACTGTGTACCAGGTTATACGTATCTGTGTGTTGTACTGACGTCTTGACTGTGTACCCGGTAAGACGTATCTGTGTGTTGTACTGACGTCTTGACTTTGTACCAGGTTATACGTATCTGTGTGTTGTACTGACGTCTTGTCTGTGTACCAGGTTATACGTATCTGTGTGCTGTACTGACGTCTTGACTTTGTACCAGGTTATACGTATCTGTGTGTTGTACTGACGTCTTGTCAGTGTACCAGGTTATACGTATCTGTGTGTTGTACTGACGTCCTGACTGTGTACAAGGTTATACGTATCTGTGTGTTGTACTGACGTCTTGACTTTGTACCAGGTTATACGTATCTGTGTGTTGTACTGACGTCCTGACTGTGTATCAGGTTATACGTATCTGTGTGTTGTACTGACGTCTTGACTTTGTACCAGGTTATACGTATCTGTGTGTTGTACTGACGTCCTGACTGTGTACCAGGTTATACATATCTGTGTGCTGTACTGACGTCTTGACTGTACCAGGTTATACGGATCTGTGTGTTGTACTGACGTCTTGACTGTACCAGGTTATACGGATCTGTGTGCTGTACTGACGTCTTGACTGTGTATCAGGTTATACGTATCTGTGTGTTGTACTGACGTCTTGACTTTGTACCAGGTTATACGTATCTGTGTGTTGTACTGACGTCCTGACTGTGTACCAGGTTATACATATCTGTGTGCTGTACTGACGTCTTGACTGTACCAGGTTATACGGATCTGTGTGTTGTACTGACGTCTTGTCAGTGTACCAGGTTATACGTATCTGTGTGTTGTACTGACGTCTTGACTTTGTACCAGGTTATACGGATCTGTGTGTTGTACTGACGTCTTGACTTTGTACCAGGTTATACGTATCTGTGTGTTGTACTGACGTCCTGACTGTGTACCAGGTTATACATATCTGTGTGCTGTACTGACGTCTTGACTGTACCAGGTTATACGGATCTGTGTGTTGTACTGACGTCTTGTCAGTGTACCAGGTTATACGTATCTGTGTGTTGTACTGACGTCTTGACTTTGTACCAGGTTATACGTATCTGTGTGTTGTACTGACGTCCTGACTGTGTATCAGGTTATACGTATCTGTGTGTTGTACTGACGTCCTGACTGTGTACCAGGTTATACATATCTGTGTGCTGTACTGACGTCTTGACTTTGTACCAGGTTATACGTATCTGTGTGCTGTACTGACGTCTTGACTTTGTACCAGGTTATGCGGATCTGTGTGTTGTACTGACGTCTTGACTTTGTACCAGGTTATACGTATCTGTGTGTTGTACTGACGTCCTGACTGTGTACCAGGTTATACATATCTGTGTGCTGTACTGACGTCTTGACTGTACCAGGTTATACGGATCTGTGTGTTGTACTGACGTCTTGTCAGTGTACCAGGTTATACGTATCTGTGTGTTGTACTGACGTCTTGACTTTGTACCAGGTTATACGTATCTGTGTGCTGTACTGACGTCTTGTCAGTGTACCAGGTTATACGTATCTGTGTGTTGTACTGACGTCTTGACTTTGTACAAGGTTATACGTATCTGTGTGTTGTACTGACGTCCTGACTTTGTACCAGGTTATACGGATCTGTGTGTTGTACTGACGTCCTGACTTTGTACCAGGTTATACGTATCTGTGTGTTGTACTGACGTCTTGTCAGTGTACCAGGTTATACGTATCTGTGTGCTGTACTGACGTCTTGTCAGTGTACCAGGTTATACGTATCTGTGTGTTGTACTGACGTCTTGACTTTGTACCAGGTTATACGTATCTGTGTGTTGTACTGACGTCTTGACTTTGTACCAGGTTATACGGATCTGTGTGTTGTACTGACGTCTTGACTTTGTACCAGGTTATACGTATCTGTGTGCTGTACTGACGTCTTGACTTTGTACCAGGTTATACGGATCTGTGTGTTGTACTGACGTCTTGTCTGTGTACCAGGTTATACGTATCTGTGTGTTGTACTGACGTCTTGTCAGTGTACCAGGTTATACGTATCTGTGTGTTGTACTGACGTCTTGACTGTGTACCCGGTAAGACGTATCTGTGTGTTGTACTGACGTCTTGTCACTGCACCAGGTTATGCGTATCTGTGTGTTGTACTGACGTCTTGTCTGTGTACCAGGTTATGCGTATCTGTGTGTTGTACTGACGTCTTGACTGTGTACCAGGTTATACGTATCTGTGTGTTGTACTGACGTCTTGACTTTGTACCAGGTTATACGGATCTGTGTGTTGTACTGACGTCTTGTCAGTGTACCAGGTTATACGTATCTGTGTGTTGTACTGACGTCTTGACTTTGTACCAGGTTATACGGATCTGTGTGTTGTACTGACGTCTTGACTTTGTACCAGGTTATACGTATCTGTGTGCTGTACTGACGTCCTGACTGTGTACCAGGTTATACGTATCTGTGTGCTGTACTGACGTCTTGACTTTGTACCAGGTTATACGTATATGTGTGTTGTACTGACGTCTTGACTTTGTACCAGGTTATACGTATCTGTGTGTTGTACTGACGTCTTGACTGTGTACCAGGTTATACGTATCTGTGTGCTGTACTGACGTCCTGACTTTGTACAAGGTTATACGTATCTGTGTGCTGTACTGACGTCTTGACTTTGTACCAGGTTATACGTATATGTGTGTTGTACTGACGTCTTGACTTTGTACCAGGTTATACGTATCTGTGTGCTGTACTGACGTCTTGTCTGTGTACCAGGTTATACGTATCTGTGTGTTGTACTGACGTCTTGTCAGTGTACCAGGTTATACGTATCTGTGTGTTGTACTGACGTCTTGACTGTACCAGGTTATACGTATCTGTGTGTTGTACTGACGTCTTGTCAGTGTACCAGGTTATACGGATCTGTGTGTTGTACTGACGTCTTGACTGTACCAGGTTATGCGTATCTGTGTGTTGTACTGACGTCTTGTCAGTGTACCAGGTTATACGTATCTGTGTGTTGTACTGACGTCTTGACTTTGTACCAGGTTATACGTATCTGTGTGCTGTACTGACGTCTTGACTGTGTACCAGGTTATGCGTATCTGTGTGTTGTACCGACGTCTTGACTTTGTACCAGGTTATACGTATCTGTGTGCTGTACTGACGTCTTGACTTTGTACCAGGTTATGCGTATCTGTGTGTTGTACTGACGTCTTGACTGTGTACCAGGTTATGCGTATCTGTGTGTTGTACTGACGTCTTGACTTTGTACCAGGTTATACGTATCTGTGTGCTGTACCGACGTCTTGACTTTGTACCAGGTTATACGTATCTGTGTGTTGTACTGACGTCTTGACTGTGTACAAGGTTATACGTATCTGTGTGCTGTACTGACGTCTTGACTTTGTACCAGGTTATGCGTATCTGTGTGCTGTACTGACGTCTTGACTTTGTACCAGGTTATGCGTATCTGTGTGCTGTACTCACGTCTTGACTTTGTACCAGGTTATGCGTATCTGTGTGCTGTACTCACGTCTTGACTTTGTACCAGGTTATGCGTATCTGTGTGCTGTACTCACGTCTTGACTGTGTACAAGGTTATACGTATCTGTGTGCTGTACTCACGTCTTGACTGTGTACCAGGTTATACGTATATGTGTGTTGTACTGACGTCTTGACTTTGTACCAGGTTATGCGTATCTGTGTGCTGTACTGACGTCTTGACTTTGTACCAGGTTATACGTATATGTGTGTTGTACTGACGTCTTGACTGTGTACCAGGTTATACGTATATGTGTGTTGTACTGACGTCTTGACTTTGTACCAGGTTATGCGTATCTGTGTGCTGTACTCACGTCTTGACTTTGTACCAGGTTATGCGTATCTGTGTGCTGTACTGACGTCTTGACTGTGTACAAGGTTATACGTATCTGTGTGTTGTACTGACGTCTTGTCAGTGTACCAGGTTATGCGTATCCGTGTGTTGTTCTGACGTCTTGACTTTGTACCAGGTTATACGGATCTGTGTGTTGTACTGACGTCTTGACTTTGTACCAGGTTATACGGATCTGTGTGTTGTACTGACGTCTTGTCAGTGTACCAGGTTATGCGTATCTGTGTGTTGTACTGACGTCTTGTCAGTGTACCAGGTTATACGGATCTGTGTGTTGTACTGGCGTCTTGACTTTGTACCAGGTTATGCGTATCTGTGTGCTGTACTCACGTCTTAACTTTGTACCAGGTTATACGGATCTGTGTGTTGTACTGACGTCTTGTCCGTGTACCAGGTTATACGTGTCTGTGTGTTGTACTCACGTCTTGAATTTGTACAAGGTTATACGTATCTGTGTGTTGTACTGACGACTTGACTGTGTACCAGGTTATACGTATCTGTGTGCTGTACTTACGTCTTGACTGTGTACCAGGTTATACGGATCTGTGTGTTGTACTGACGTCTTGTCAGTGTACCAGGTTATACGTGTCTGTGTGTTGTACTCACGTCTTGACTTTGTACCAGGTTATACGGATCTGTGTGCTGTACTGGAAGGAGCGGCAGCCGGGTAGTCATCACGCTAGCAAACTACCGACATTCTTTGAAGAAAATTGCTGTGATGGTTACTCTATCTACGGCCTTCCTAGCGAGGAATACCCCGGACACGTGAAGGTAGGGAGAGACACTTGAAGGCAGGGAGAGACACGGGAACGCAGGGAGAGACACGTGAATGTAGGGAGAGACACGTGAATGTAGGGAGAGACACGTGAAGGCAGGGAGAGAAACATGAATGCAGGGAGAGACACGTGAAGGCAGGGAGAGACACATGGAGGCAGGGAGAGACACGTGAATGTAGGGAGAGACACGTGAAGGAAGGGAGAGACACGTGAAGGTAGGGAGAGACACGTGAAGGCAGGGAGAGACACGTGAAGGCAGGGAGAGACACGTGAAGGTAGGGAGAGACACGTGAATGTAGGGGGAGACACAGGAATGTAGGGAGAGACACGTGAAGGCAGGGAGAGACACATGAAGGCAGGGAGTGACACATGGAGGCAGGGAGAGACACGTGAAGGCAGGGAGAGACACATGAATGTAGGGAGAGACACGTGAAGGCAAGGAGAGACACGTGAAGGCAGGGAGAGACACGTGAAGGCAGGGAGAGACACATGAATGTAAGGAGAGACACGTGAAGGTAGGGAGGGGTACGTTAAGGTATTGGGAGACATGCGAAGGCAGGGAGAGACACCTGAAGGCAGGGAGAGACACATGAAGGTAGGGAGAGACACATGCAGGCAGGGAGAGACACGTGAAGGTATGGGGAGACACATGAATGTAGGGAGAGACACATGAATGTAGGGAGAGACACGTGAAGGCAGGGAGAGACACATGAATGTAGGGAGAGACACGTGAAGGCAGGGAGAGACACATGAAGGCAGGGAGAGACACATGAATGTAAGGAGAGACACGTGAAGGTAGGGAGGGGTACGTGAAGGTATTGGGAGACATGCGAAGGCAGGGAGAGACACCTGAAGGTAGGGAGAGACACATGAAGGCAGGGAGAGACACGTGAAGGTATGGGGAGACACGTGAAGGTAGGGAAAGACACGTGAAGGTAGGGAGAAACACGTAAAGGTAGGGAGAGACATGAAGGTAGGGAGAGACACGTGAAGGGAGGGAGGGGTACGTGAAGGTATTGGGAGACATGCGAAGGTAGGGAGAGGCACGTAAAGGTAGGGAGAGACATGAAGGTAGGGAGAGACACACGAAGGTAGGGAGAGACATGACGGTAGGGAGAAGCACATGAAGGTAGGGAGAGACACGCGAAGGTAGGGAGAGACACATGAAGGTAGGGAGAGACACGTGAAGGTCGAGAGACACGTGAAGGTCGAGAGACACGTGAAGGTCGAGAGACACGTGAAGGTAGGGAGACACACGAAGATAGGGAGAGACGTGAAGGTAGGGAGAGACACGTGAAGGTAGGGAGAGACACGTGAATGTAGGGAGAGATACGTGAAGGCGGGGGGGGACACGTGAATGCAGGGAGAGACACGTGAAGGCAGGGAGAGACACGTGAAGGTAGGGAGAGACACGTGAATGTAGGGAGAGATACGTGAAGGCAGGGAGAGACACGTGAAGGCAGGGAGAGACACGTGAAGGTAGGGAGAGACACGTGAATGTAGGGAGAGATACGTGAAGGCAGGGGGGGGACACTTGAATGCAGGGAGAGACACGTGAAGGCAGGGAGAGACACGTGAAGGTAGGGAGAGACACGTGAATGTAGGGAGAGATACGTGAAGGCAGGGAGAGACACGTGAAGGCAGGGAGAGACACGTGAAGGTAGGGAGAGATACGTGAAGGCAGGGAGAGACACCTGAAGGCAGGGAGAGACACGTGAATGCAGGGAGAGGCACGTGAAGGTAGAGAAAGACACGTGAAGGCAGGGAAAGACACATGAAGTAGGGAGAAACACGTAAAGGTAGGGAGAGACACGTGAAGGTAGGGAGAGACACGTGAAGGTAAGGAGGGGTACGTGAAGGTATTGGGAGACATGCGAAGGTAGTGAAAGGCACGTGAAGGTAGGGAGAAACACGTAAAGGTAGGGAGAGACATGAATGTAGGGAGAGACACGTGAAGGTAGGGAGGGGTACGTGAAGGTATTGGGAGACATGCGAAGGTAGGGAGAGGCACGTAAAGGTAGGGAGAGACATGTAGGTAGGGAGAGACATGACGGTAGGGAGAAGCACATGAAGGTAGGGAGAGACACGTGAAGGTAGGGAGAGACACATGAAGGTAGGGAGAGACACGTGAAGGTCGAGAGACACGTGAAGGTAGGGAGACACACGAAGATAGGGAGAGACGTGAAGGTAGGGAGAGATACGTGAAGTAGGGAGGGATATGTGAAGGCAGGGAGAGACACTTAAAGGTTGGGAGAGACATGAAGGTAGGGAGAGGCACGTGAAGGTAGGGAGGGGTACGTGAAGGTAATGGGAGACACGTGAAGGTAGAGAAAGACACGTGAAGGCAGGGAAAGACACATGAAGTAGGGAGGGATATGTGAAGGCAGGGAGAGACACTTAAAGGTTGGGAGAGACATGAAGGTAGGGAGAGGCACGTGAAGGTAGGGAGGGGTACGTGAAGGTATTGGGAGACACGTGAAGGTAGGGAGAAACACATGAAGTAGGGAGGGATATGTGAAGGTAGGGAGAGACACTTAAAGGTAGGGAGAGATATGAAGGTAGGGAGAGACACACGAAGGTAGGGAGGGGTACGTGAAGGTAGGGAGAGGCACGTAAAGGTAGGGAGAGACACGTGAAGGTCGAGAGACACGTGGAGGTAGGGAGACACATGAAGGTAGGGAGAGACGTGAAGGTAGGGAGAGACACGTGAAGGTACGGAGAGACACGACATGAAGGTCGGGAGAAGCACGTGAAGGTAGGGAGGGGTACGTGAAGGTAGGGAGAGGCACGTACAGGTAGGGAGAGACACGTGAAGGTCGAGAAACACGTGAAGCCAGGGAGACACATGAAGGTAGGGAGAGACGTGAAGGTAGGGAGAGACACGTGAAGGTAGGGAGAGACACAACATGAAGGTAGGGAGAAGCACGTGAAGGTAGGGGGGGGGGGGGGGTACGAGAAGGTAGGGAGAGGCACGTAAAGGTAGGGAGAGACACGTGAAGGCAGGGAAAGGCACGTGAAGGTCGAGAGACACGTGAAGGTAGGGAAAGACGTGAAGGTAGGGAGAGACATGTGAAGGTAGGGAGAGACACATGAAGGTAGGGAGAGACGTTAAGGGAGGGAGACACATGAAGGTAGGGAGAGACACGTGAATGTAGGGAGAGACACATGAAGGTAGGGAGAGACACGTGAAGGTAGGGAGACACATGAAGGTAGTGAGAGACATGAAGGTAGGGAAAGACACGTGAAGGTAGGGAGAGACATGAAGGTAGGGAGAGACACATGAAAGTAGGGAGGGGTACGTGAAGATAGGAAGAGACACGTGAATGTAGGGAGAGACACAACATGAAGGTAGGGAGAGACGTGAAAGTAGGCAGAGAACATTAAGGTAGGGAGAGACACGCGAAGGTAGGGAGGGACACGTGACTGTGACTATTGACACGTGGCTATTTAAACCATGACCATGCATTCAAAGAACCCAACCACCTTTTGGCTTTAAAAATACTACTAGTGTTCAATCAGTGATAGTTGACATCACGTGTTCTAACACCATTGAATATCGCAGTACTTTTCATTTCTGTTATACATGACATGCTTTATGAACAATAACTAATGGTATTAATGAAAATCTGATGGGACATTAGAATGTATGGAAAGTAGATGCATATCATAGGCAAAACGTATATATGGTAACATAATAGGTGATGTGAATGGAAATTAACGTCGTTTTCAAGTTATTGCAATTATATAGCGACGTGCATGCACGTGTGTGGGGGTGCTTGTTCTAGTCAGGACTAATACCGATTTCATAGTGCTAGCCCACTGAGATACCATGTTGCAGTTTATAATAATAATGAATACCCCACTCAGATACAGTATACTGACTCAAAGCCGACCAGTCTTTGTTTTAGGCCCGTAATGCCGAACACCAGACAGGGTAACAACAAGTACCATCTTTTAACGTCTTTTGGTATGATATGGCCGGGCATTAAACCACCGACCACCCGGGGAAGTTTTAACTGTTTAAAAATCCCTAGTTACCATTTCTTCATTCCTCGTTGAGATTTCTGAGCTGAATACGTCGCCAGTTACCATTTTATTATCATCCGTCGATATTCCGGAGATGATTTATTATAGGTCCATAGTAACCATTCCTTATTTCCCAGTGGCGTTACCGGAGCCTAGCAGGTCTGTAGTAACCATTCATCACACAAGACGTTTATAAGCTGTGAAAGAAAGTGAAGAAGACTTTTATTATACAATCATTTCTGTCTTAATGTCGAATTTATTGTATTTGCTGCAGATGTGTCTTCACTTCGGTCCTGAAATTGACGTTGAGTCACGTGACCAGGTAGACGTGAAGTGGGTGATTGATCTGATGAAGACCTACGTCCGAACTCACTTCCCTGGTCTGGAGGCAGCGCCCTCTATCATGGAGCCATGCATATACACGGTACGGAGTTTCACATATCCAACATCATTGAGACTCTTTCATTCTGCCTTAACGTATAAGTGACCACTGCAAGGGTATGAAAGTAAATTTGTCATAAATTCATCTCACAGTCGTGTTTCCATGTGTCCATATAGGCTCATATACCCCTCACGGTCAGTAAACATCCTACATCCTGGACGCCCCATTGGGGATTCAGGGTTGGAATTGGCCCCCAGCAACCTATACTGATCGTAAGAGGCGACATAATGGATCGAGTTGTCAGTCTAAGTCACTTGCTTAATAGCTTGTCGTACCATGGGGTGGATCGTTGCTCATAATATCAATCACAGGGTTATCTGGTCCAGACTCCATTAATTGCAGACCGTCGTCATTCGCTGGAATCTTGCTGAGTGCGCGTTAAACGACAAACAAGTAAACGTACTCGAAACACAAGGGGCGGTATGGTAGCCTTTTCCTGGGTTTGATTCCATGTATTGGTGTCAAACTCGCTCTCACAACGCACAATTCCACATATGCTTCTGGAATTGACAAATGTGAATATCGCGCAAGTCAGTCTCCCTGCCTGATAGAAGATTAAAGGATGCTGTTCGTCTTCATCAGTAATACTTTGTCCTGATATATTATTCAACATTCGTAATTTCTATGTACATTCAAAACATTGTTACTGGAAATTACAAATCTTTACTCGACAATTATGAGAACTGTAAAGAAAACTGGTTGCAGAATAACTTGACAATTATTCACAATGTATCATGTAACCCTGACACTGTTTCAGAACACGCCTGACAGTCACCCCGTCATTGACTACCTCCCCGGCTCCCGCAACATCGTCCTCGGTGCCGGCTTCTCAGGTGAGTGAGGTGAAAAAGTGTGTCTGTCGGCAGCGTGTGCCGTCTCCGTGGTCTAGTGGTAGAGCGTCCGATCGGAAAGCGGAAGTTCCGGTGTTTGATCCCCGGCCGCGTCATACCAACAGACGTTAAAAGTTGGAACTTGTTGTTACCCTGTCTGGTGCTCCGCATAAAGGGGCTAACACAAGTATACACTGTCTGGGGTATTCATGTTAAAATGCGGCACGGTATCTCCATTTCGGCATGAGTCGTGTACACGGAGCGCGACATTAAACCTCATACCCCATTTCACCTATCTCATGTCGAAATCTTCGGTATACGGGTTATATGATAAATTATACATATAAAGGTATATCCTCTCTCCGCGGGTCATGGGTGATATGATATACAATACATGTATATTCTCTTTCCCCAGGTCATGGGTTATATGATATACGTGTACATCTTCTCTCCGCAGGTCATGGTTATATGGTATACGTGTATATGTTCTCTCCGCAGGTCATGGGTTATGTGATATACGTGTATCTCTTCTCTCCCCAGGTCATGGGTTATATGATATACATGTATATCTTCTCTCTCCAGGTCATGGGTTATATGGTAAACGTGTATATCCTCACACCGCAGGTCATGGGTTATATGGTATACGTGTATATCTTCTCTCTCCAGGTCATGGGTTATATGGTATACGTGTATATCTTCTCTCCGCAGGTCATGGGTTATATGATATACATGTATATCTTCTCTCCGCAGGTCATGGGTTATATGGTAAACATGTATATCTTCTCTCCCCAGGTCATGGGTTATATGATATACGTGTATATCTTCTCTCCCAAGGTCATTGGTTATATGATATACGTTTATATCTTCTCTCCCCAGGTCATAGGTTATATAGTAAACGTGTATATCCTCACACCGCAGGTCATGGGATGTATGATAACGTGTATATTCTCTCTCCGCAGGTCATTGGCTATATGATATGCGTGTATATCGTCTCTCCGCAGGTCATGGGTTATATGGTATACGTGTATTTCTTCTCTCCGCAGGTCATGGGTTATATGATATACGTGTATATCTTCTCTCCACGGGTCATTGGTTATATGATATACATGTATATCCATTCTCCGCAGGTCATGGGTTATATGGTATACGTATATATATTCTCTCCACAGGTCATAGGTTATATGATATACATGTATATCTTCTCTCCGCAGGTCATGGGTTATATGGTAAACATGTATATCTTCTCTCCGCAGGTCATGGGTTATATGATATACATGTATATCTTCTCTCCGCAGGTCATGGGTTATATGATATACATGTATATCTTCTCTCCGCAGGTCATGGGTTATATGATATACATGTATATCTTCTCTCCGCAGGTCATGGGTTATATGATATACATGTATATCTTCTCTCCGCAGGTCATGAGTTATATGATATACATGTATATCTTCTCTCCGCAGGTCATGGGTTATATGATATACATGTATATCTTCTCTCCGCAGGTCATGGGTTTTATGATATACGTGTATATCCTCTCTCCCCAGGTCATGGCTTCAAGCTGTCCCCTGTGGTGGGCAAGGTCCTGGGTCAGCTGGCGTGTGGGGAGACGCCCTCCTACAGCCTCACCCCCTTCAGGATAGACAGGTTTCCCCCTCAGGCCGGCCTCTGACGGGACAGTCTCATGCCCGCGTCGTGTGTATGTGATCAGTGACGATGAATTAAAACTGTGGGACCCTGTGGTTTTGGTTGTTGGTGTTTCATGTATTCAAGGTTGAAATGCGCAAGTCGAGTACAGTGTGTTTCCGGCAAGCTGAGTGGAGCACCATAATAATAGTAATGATGATGATGATGATGATGATGATGGTGGTGGTGGTTGTGGCGGTGGTGGTGGTGGTGGTGTTGTTGGTGGTGGTGATAACAATGGTTGTTCCTGGAGTGGAGAAGTCAATAGGATCTAAGGAAACGTACAACTTTATGGATAACAATTTCTGGTTTACTGCATACAGAGACGTTATGATGTAGATTCATACACGTTATCAAGCTTGCTCCGACGTTCTTGCAGTTTGGCCCTCACTCTGTGAAGATTCATATTCCAATGAACTCGCACAAAATGAAAGTCAATGCTAAAATAAATGTTTCTGATACTGGATCTGAAAAAAAAAATCTTGTATGGTATACTAGTTGCTTTACTGTCCATCGCTAACAGATTTTGGTATGCTATTACATTAATGTATAACTTATTCTGGTCACGATATTCCTGAAATACTGAGGATGTGACTATAAATCTTAACTCAAACACTCTCTGACTTAAGCCATGTTATGGGGCATATATAATTAAGCTATAATACCAGTAATGAAGAGCAAGTTCAGAATGGCCAGTGAATTCCTGGCTCACAGTTAGCTGAACAATAGCGTGATAATGGTTTAATATTCACTAGTCCTCAGCAATTCCATTTATTAATATTTGAGTCACTCCTGCTGGACCAGGTCGTGATCTTCAGCTCAAGAACTGGGTATGAAGGTGTGACGGGTTCATGTGGATTGTGAGGTTCAGGAACGGAGGATGGAGATGGCACTCCCAGAGGCCTTCCCATGGATTGTGGGGTCTAGGAACGGAGGATGGAGATGGCACTCCAAGATGCCTTCCCGTGGATTGTGGGGTTCAGGAACGGAGGATGGAGATGGCCCTCCAAGATGCCTTCCCGTGGATTGTGGGGTTCAGGAACGGAGGATGGAGATGGCCCTCCAAGATGCCTTCCCGTGGATTGTGGGGTTCAGGAACGGAGGATGGAGACGGCCCTCCAAGATGCCTTCCCGTGGATTGTGGGGTTCAGGAACGGAGGATGGAGACGGCCCTCCAAGATGCCTTCCCGTTTGCCCTTCCGGTGACCCCTGGACAGGACGGGTCTTTTGTGTTGGTGATTGTGGCATCTCTGAGATAATAATATGCTTGTTCTTTTTCAGATATTTGAGTAATGTTAAGGATTTCTTCTGGCTGGCATAAAGTAGAAACATTGTTAGCCAGACTAGAAGAGAATGTACCTGAATAGGTTTTCGTGGTTAAGTGTTTGAGACAGAGATGGAACTAACTTTTAGGCTTCAGGAAGCTAAAGAGATATTCATGGTGTAATGTTTGGAATCTGGATGAGGACGCGGCTACGTGCTCCCCATTACAATTTGTGCCCTCAACGTAGCTCCTTCGTAACGGAAGCACATAGTGTTGCCACGGTCGAACTTGGTCCCCACTTTTGACTTTTGCAATATCTGATCGGACTGGGAAAAGTACTCGTTCGTTTAGTATTTGTTTCATCGTGCAAATCTGTTACCTTGTGCAATAATGGAACCTGATGTGCAATTGATGAATCATTACTCGTGTGTCCATTATGTGACAAACTGTCTCCCTTGGTCGTGCTCATCTCAGTTACATATACCTTACAGTGGGGTAATGGTAACCTTCTCTGTTGACAAAGTCGCCCTCGTTATAAGTAGGGGCGGTCGGTTAGCCTAGTGGTTAAAGCGTTCGCTCGTCACGCCGAAGACCCGGGTTAGATTCCCGACATGTTTACAATGTGTGAAGCCCACTTCTGGTGTCCCCCGCCTCGACATTGGTGGAATATTGCTAAAAGCGGCATAAAACCATACTCACTCTGTCACTTGTTATAAGTAACGTACGTGCAATGTTGCCGATGCCTCCTTGCTGTGTAAGACAGTTGGAAAATGAAGCGACAGTTTACCTCTCCAATGCGATTTGGTACTTGGGATTCAAGCGGGACATTTTGTAAGCGATATGAATGATATTTATGAATTCATTGGATTTATAAAGAAAAGACTATGTCATTTTGTTGGCCCTGATAGGTCTGAGGCTGTATATAGGCCTATTCCAATGATTTTTATAATCATCGTATTCCATGACGCCCTATATATTCTGCGTCGTACCATGAATGGACCTCTGAGTTGAAACCACAGGCATGGCAAAGGCGGTAATAAAATGATCGAACCATGCCAAGATGTCGTTGTGTTTATGCCAAATTCATTACATAACCGACATTTAATAGTTTCATTTTGATGCAAAATTACACATTGACGGTTTCGAGTGGGAAGTGTCTGGTCCCGAGCAGAAAACAGAAAGCCTTCTGTTTCATTTTTCAGGCCAGCAGACTTCATCCAAGCGAGTGACTCTGCAGTGTTGCTGATCTTCTTAACACACTGCACATAAAATGCAGTGGTCAGAGAGTATTCCCTTGAAAAAAACCCGAGTCTGTGCCAGTCATTGATATGGCACTTCGCTTGGTTGACACTCATTTCAGTACCGTCCAGCAGCACAGAACCATCAACAAAATCAACACTGATGTTGAGATTTTGTCCTACATCCTTGCCTCGGTTAAGAAAAGTGTGGAATGCCTTGTTCTCATCACGAGTTTAGACATACCTCACAAGATGATCATCAGACAAATAAATGTGTGCAAAAGTGCACAAAACAATTCTACCACGAAGAGCCTTCACGTTAATCATACCACGCCCTCCCATTATGTTTGGTAAATATAAGCGATTGAGGGAAGAGCGAGGGTGGTGGGATTTTTTGTCGGACATGATTCTTCGCGTGAGGATGTAAATGCCCTGAATTTACCTGTATCGTCCAGTTCATCAACACCAAAAGAATACGATAGGACGGGTACGGCATAGGTATTTACGGCTTTGACTTTATCGCGAGCGTTACCTCTGAACTACAGATTTTTCTTCAGACTACATTTGTATTCTGCCCGATCTATTCCCTTTATTTTGGCATTCTGGAGTTTGTCTCTAATCTGCATCATTTAGTACGTATAGGCCTGACCTTCCACGAGATGGTCATTAAGTCCTCCCCCAGATAAATTTACTGATCCTCACTCATAATTTTATCAACTGAACACTTATTAATAGTAATTGAATAACCTTCAGAAGACTGGATTATTACCGCATGACAGGAAGACGTGACAAAGAGTACAGGTCTACGTACGTTTGTTTGGTCACGTCTGTTGTCATGGGTCGATTTGCTGAATTAGGACACTGCATTCTGATTACTGGAAGAAGCATGGCTGGATGTTACAGTGAATACAGTTGGAGAATAGCTTCAATTAAATGAGTGAGTGAGTGAGTATGGTTTTACGACGCTTTAAGCCATATTCCAGCAATATCACGGCGGGGGACACTAGAAATGGCCTTCACACAATGTACCCATGTGGGGAATCGAACCGGGGTTTTCAGAGCTTTTATCACTGGGTTACCCTACCGCTCCCTTCAATTAAATGCGCTGCAGTTCATGTTATATACTTTAAAAAATGCGAATTGTCTTTTCCCGAGTGAATTTTGTAAAGTCCCGAGCCATGTCGAACATCTACAACATTAACTCATGAAGGACAGACAATCCGCAACTCAGAGTCGCCTCTTAGGGTAATATCTAACTTTAACTGACGCTTATACAATTTGTGGCCCGAAAGTTAACGTTATATATTTCGGAAAATAAAGGAACAATTGGAACGTACTAGCCAATCAGGATGAAGCCACACTAATAATGCTCAGTGATAATTACTGAAACGTGTTTCACCTTTATCCATGAAAGTAGTATTTTCTATTATTACTTGCCCGTGAAGAGATCACCCGTTTAATAAACATACAGCTGTATTACACATTGTGTAATACCAAAACGCGTGCTTATCTACTCTCGGAACACGTTTCTAGAACAAATATTGAAAGCTCTCAACATCCCTTGGCTTATTCAACGACATTTCGTTTGGAGATGATAGATCACTGAGAGGAGCTTATGCACACTCGATGACCCCAGCAATCTTGCTGCTAGGCTGACGTCACATGGCATTGTTTCGCCGATGGATCTTGCAACAAAATTCAACAAATTACGTCATCGGGTATTGTGACGTGATTGTAAACTTTGAGGTGCAAGGCCCCGTTCCACAAGGCGATCGTACTCTAGCGCAACGACAGTCGTTGGTCTAAGTTTAAGTATGTGAGTTGTGATAGCCTTAGCACAACGATAATTTTGTGGGACGAACGCCTGAATTCTAAAGTAGGACCGTTGTATGATATTAAATTCATACGTTTCAACTTTTGACGTGTTTGAAGTATTATTCTGTTAAACTCAATTGGATTATGTCGTGGATCGTGTAGGTGTCAGCCTATTCACACTCAACAGTATAATTCTAAAAAGTAATAAATAAAAATACTAAACTCGCTCCCGTGTAAAACCAATTTTATGAAACTCGCTTTCGCTAGTCAGATACCACAACTATTCACTCGTTTCATAAAATTGGTATTACACGGGAGCTCGTTTAGTATTCTATATTTATTATATACTTCAGTGTGAAAGACTGAGTTTTCTGAAGTTGAGAAAAGTGATATTTTCATTGCAGTGAACATAACACTTGATATTTCACTGCAGTGAACATAACACCTGATATTTCACTGCAGTGAACATAACACGTTGACGGAACTATGTTGGCCTACACGAGACAGCTCGTACACAAACTGTTGATTTACGTCAGTTCAACGTTGACAAGTCATATAATGACAGATGGTCATTTTTGTAGTTAATACCGATTCTTACCGTTTGTTATTTTGTTGAAAATGATTTGTATTAAACTGTGAATTTCTCTTCTGATTTGTCAGTTGATACTTTATGTTTCGCAAAGCGCCATTTTGTTACTTGAATTGCGTGTATTCTTTCGCTTCCAACAACCGTCTCA